TTATAGTCATCTATGTCTCCACTGCTAAAACCACCAAACATATCTGAAGGAGATACTACGTAGCATGCTGGAACCCTGAAAATGCGTATCTGCTGGAAGTGCTGATGCTGGTTCTGCAAGGAGACTCACTTGGAGCCTCTACTTTCTGTTCACCCCAGATTCTTTGTACATTCCATAATGCATTTCTTTATCCACACATCTATGGAGTAAACAGACATGTATTTATTAGTCTCTGCTATGGCCAACCAGACTCCCTTTGTGAGTAATTGGAAACATGGTCATTTTATTTTCTTTGATGCTTCCCTTTTCTCTAAGCAACATTCCCTTTCACCAAGCACATAAGGAGAAGGCGTGGGGCTTTTGTTACATTAGACTAATCAATATGGTGTGATCCTAGGCATGTACCTTACTGCCCCAGCGAGGATGAGAGTTCCTTACATTTTGAATGTCTATGCGTTGTCACATGTTTTCTCTGTAGTTCTCTCCTCACTCTGTTGTCACCTAGTTTTCTTTATTTTCCTGTAGTTTTGGGGGGTCATGTCCAGGAAACCCCTGTTCATCCTGATGTGCTAAAATACTTCTGAATTTTCTTTCTAGTGGTCTTATAGCTTCAAGTCTTATATCTGTTTAATTTTGAGTATTCTCTTAACTGGTGAGAGTGGGTGTCCAGTTCATTCTTCTTACAACCAAGGTTTTGTTAGACTGAATGGAATACAGTATTTGATAGCTAAACCTGTGCTTCTGAAGAAGTGATGGGTAAGACCCAATACATCATCATCACAAGCTTAACTCATCTGCTGTTGAAGAAATGATAGGTTCTAGACTGGAAGGGGTATTGGGATTTTATCAAATGTCTTTTGTGCGTCCAATGAAATGATCATACAATTTTGTCCTTCACACTGGTTTCTTTCTTTCTTTTTAATTTTTTTTGTTTGTTTGTTTTTCTTGCATCTGTGATCACCAGGGCATTGGGCCAGTGTACAGCTTGTAAAATGAATTTAGACAAGATCCTTCCTCTTTAGATTTTGGAATGACTTAAGAAGAATTAGTATTAATTCCTTAATTGTTAGCCAGAGCTCAGCAAGAGGCTGAGCAGAATACTTTTTAACCATAAAAACAATTGACTGTCAGTAGGTAAGAGCACTGGCTGCTTTTCTAGGAGCCCCAGTTCGTTTCCCAGCACCCACATGATGGTTCAGAGCCATCTGTAAATCGAGTTCCAGGGATCCAGCACCTTCTTCTGACCTCTGCAGGCACTGTGCACATGTGGTGCACAGACATGCATGTAGGCGAACATTCATACACATCATTTTATTTTAAAAAACAGATTTTAACAGAGAAAAAAAGGATTACTTTTTTTTTTTAATAAGGCTTAAACTATATGAATAAATTCTCTTGATTTGGAAGAAGTTACTGGGGTCTTCTTTATTCTAATCCCCCTGGCCTGGAGATACAGAGTTAAGTGTGAACTCTAAAACTTTGACTCAGGAGAAGACATTATGCCATGAATAACTGAAAATTTTAATTTAGCATCTAAAACCAGTATGGCTTTTTTCTATTAGTTGCAGTCACAACACTAATGCCTTCTACCTGATCCCAATCCACTTTTAGAGCATGAATTGTTTACAGAATTGTATTAATCATCAAAGTAGTTCTTAATTATTTCAGTATTTCCCTAATGTCCTTTTATTATAAAAATGGTGTCCATTCATTTGAAAAACTCTGCAGAGAATTCTGTGAAGCAGATTGTGAAAGTCAGCCATGTCACTGGCATTTCTTATTTCCTGTTCTGTGTGCCCAGCTTGCTCCTCAGAGATAAGGGCTTCTGACAGCTGTGTATTCTGTAGCTGGGCTGAGCTGTGCAGGCCTGCAATCCCAGCATATGTGAAATGGCTGAGGTTGAGTCTGACTTGTACCCTGGCTTCAGGAGGAGGAGAAAGAGTGAAAGAGGTGAAAAGAGTTGTGAGGAAGGAATAGATGCGCTCCTATAGGACTCACTGAGTAAAGAAAACTCATTTTTTAGGCTAATGTGCCCTAGGGATAGACCAGAATTGCATTGGAAGAAGGCAAAAGGCAGGTGTCCTGCCAGGAGAGGGGCACAGGCTTCTTAGCTATACGGCAGCCACAGCAGAGATTTGAGTGGAAACGCTCTGAGCCTCCATAGTAAACCTTTGAGAACGTTTGAACAGGATAGTGAAGTAACCTGAAGAAATGTGTTAGGAATATTAATCAGACACTCAGTGCCACTCCTGATCTTTCGGGTCATTTAGCTAAAAAGTTACAAGGTATATTAGCCACAGAGTTGTCGCTTAAACCTTAGGTTTTAGCAGCTACCGTATTCCATCCAGTCTGGCAAAACCTTAATTGTAAGCCACACCTTATTGTAGATGCTAGTGAGGGAGGGAAGAGCAAAACACTGCCATTTAGTTTTAAGATACTACCAGTTAGGAAATGTGTCCTTATTTCAAAGATCTCAATAATAAAGAAATGTGCATCATAAAATCAGTGAAATAAAATCATTACATGGCACAGAGAAAAGCTGAGAAATGCAAGAAAAAATTGAGAAAATGAAAAGGAGAGGGGATACAATCAAGGACAAGTAGAGAGGTTGACCTTGAAAAGGAAGATGATTTATGCCTTCTCGGCTCTGAGAAAAGAAATGAATAATGGGCTGTAGAAGTTTAGTAGTTCAGAAGCTAAAAAATCTAGCAAACTGGTAACAGTGAAGGCAAGGTCATCTTTGGAAAGAGTGACAGTGGTGGATTTGAGGGCTGAGACTTTAGAGTGAAAAGGTTTCAGAGGAGCAAGGCATGAAAGAATTCCCTCCGGAAATGAAGGGGCCAGTTGAGATTGCAAAGGAAGGAAGCCGCTTAGCCCTGTTTGTGGTGTTCGGGAACACTTGGTACCCTGAGAGATGGGAGTAAATATGAAAGGTGCAGTCTGCAGTGTGGGAGGTTTGCAGGCAGGAACACAGACAGAAAACTCATTAGCGCAGGCTCTTTTCAGACCAGTTTGGCTTGTCTGCTGTTCAGTAAGAAGTAAGGGATATGGCTAGAAGTAATAGGCAGACTTTTTTTTTTTTTTTTTTTTTAATTTAGGGAAAGAAAAACACTACAGGATTAGTGATTGCAGAGAAGATGAAGAACAAATTTTGAAGAGAAGTAGATATGTAGAAAGTTGTTGACTGGAGAATTCAGAAGTTAAAGGCCGTGGAGGTAGAATTCAGAGCAAAGAGGGGATCCCATTGCATCGTCTATGAAGCCCATGTTCTCAACACTCTCTGATCTTCTCCATGCCCAGAATCCTCATGGCCTCACCTGCCCTCTCCCCGTTAGAGTTGCCAGTCCTCAAGAGCTAGCTCAGGTTTCCCTGTGACATCTTTCCAGACATCTCCCACAACCCTGAACACACCAAATGGTTCACAAATCCTAAGCAGGTATACCTACCCCACCTTCTCCCTCAAGTAGTTTGTGAGCTCCTTGATGCCAGAGGCCAATTCTTTTCTTTACCCACAGTGCCAAGCACATACGAGGTAATTCATATCTACTTGGTAAATTTGGAGTGAATGAGGCATGATATTAGTGTGTGTTCCAGTCACCTGGCTGTCATTGCCATTTGGTTCTGGTTACTGAGTCAGCTTCTAGTGAAGCTGTGGCTCTGCTGTAACCTAACAGAAAGTTAGTTCAAGTAAACACAAGGCCCAGACAGCATGGACATGGAACAGCTGTGAGAGTGGAGGCTTAGAAGAATCTTAGAGTGAACACTGCTGCCCAAGGATCATGCAAGATGCTTACACTGTAGGAAACAGCAAGGAACTGTATAGAACATGGACAAAGACAAGAATGGAAGCGAACAGTTGGGAGGCTTGTATTTTAGAAAAGAAGATGGAGAATTGAAGCAGAAGCTTTACCTAGACTGAAGTGAAGGTGTGCCACCCACATACAGACCTCCAGGAAGGAAAGGGCAGCAGGGGTCAGGTTGTGGAATCTTGGGAAAGGGGCATCTAAGCATTGAGTCTTTCAGTGCTGATAGAAGTGGTAAGGGAACAGGACTGGTTTTTCAGGAAAGGGGCACCCCTGAAGAAATGGTACTGTGGGTAAAGAAAAGAATTGGCCTCTGGCATCAAGGAGCTCACAAACTACTTGAGGGAGAAGGTGGGGTAGGTATACCTGCTTAGGATTTGTGAACCATTTGGTGTGTTCAGGGTTGTGGGAGATGTCTGGAAAGATGTCACAGGGAAACCTGAGCTAGCTCTTGAGGACTGGCAACTCTAACGGGGAGTGGGCAGGTGAGGCCATGAGGATTCTGGGCATGGAGAAGATCAGAGAGTGTTGAGAACATGGGCTTCATAGACGATGCAATGGGATCCCCTCTTTAGAGGGAGGGGCAGTCTTCTGATGGATTTGTTCTGTATTCTAAGAATGAATGGCCATTGGCCGAAGTCAGTGAAGAGCAGGAGGGGTTTTCAAGCAAGAGAGATAGAATTCCACCTGTGCTTTAGGAATAAAACACATCTTCAGACATACTGCTCTGAATTCTACCTCCACGGCCTTTAACTTCTGAATTCTCCAGTCAGCAACTTTCTATGTATCTACTTCTTGTGACTCTGTGACTCTGTGACTTTAGTCATGCATACCAAAACAACACATATTATATATTGACCATACCCCTTACTTCCCTGCCCTCCCTTTTTTAGCTTTCCCCTCCTCATTCCTCTTGGTTCCCCTAGTCAGTTTTACTTCTGAGGCCATGTCATATGCACATTCACAATTTTATATATCTATATTAAAGAAATAAATAAGTAGAGCCACTCATGAGAGCAAGCATGGCATTTCTTTCTGAGACTAGCTTGATTAGGTTAATGTGACCATCACCAGGTAGATTCTGTCATCTAGAAAGTTCTTCTGGATATCCTGGACTATACCAAAGTTACATTTCAAAGAAGACATCCTAATGAGTGCATTTTAAAGTAGACTATGTCTTTGTCGGTTGCCCTACAGTTACTTCAATGAGAACCAGTACCCAGATGAAGCAAAGAGAGAAGAGATTGCCAACGCTTGCAATGCAGTCATCCAGAAGCCAGGTAAGGGGTGAGCGCAGACTGCAGGGCTCAGCTACGCTCATTGGTCTGGACACCTTCCCCCCCAGTGCAGGCCCCCGCCCAGTGTTCTCAGTGTTCTCCACATAGTGCTTGTGATAATATTATGACATGAATCAAGGCTCACACACAGTGACTCTTCATGAGCTTTAAGGCCTTGAGTTTTTTGTTTTTTTTTTTTTTTTAATTATTGATTGGTTTTTCTAAAATTTAGCATAACTTTATCAATTCTTAAATAATAGTGTGAAAATTCAAGGAAGTTTTTAAAATAAAAATATGTAAAATCTATTTTTTTCATTGTTGCTCTAAAATTGTGTGATCTGTATTTTTTTGTGGGAAAGCTCTTCGGGATTGAATTTTATCTGCTTTCCAGAGTGGGCTGACTTCTGTGTAGCTGAGGGAAACATGGTGGCTCCCTTTTAAAGTCTCCTGTGGGAGTCCACAGCCACTCCCCTACTTCCTGTGTGTCTCACTCCCAGTGCACTTCAGAGGCTTGGCACAGCACCCCTTCCACCAAGTGACCAGCTTGTTTCAGCTTGGCCACTTGTTTTGATGGCTTAAAGGTTGTGCGGATCTCAGTTTTATTCAGTGAAGGGGGATTAACCTCCTTCATTTAGAAAGCTGACTTCTAGTGGCTTTCTAAACTACGCACTCAGCGCCACCCTCAGAGGAATCTGTACCCTGTGTGCACAGGCCTACAGTCCCAGTGCAGGCATTGGCTCCCTCTGGAAAACACAGATTAAAAGCATAAACAAGAGGACAGGAGAGGGGGAGACAGTACTGCTTACTAGTTAGCACAGTGTCTCCATAGGAATTAACTGTGATGGCCAAGAAGACAGTAACTCTAAAGTCTAATCTGAGTGGTACGTGTGTCCCAGAACAGTCACAATTGTGGATGGCTACATGCCCTCAAAGCAGCATCTATGTCATATATTACATGACATAGAATATGTATCTGAAACTAAGATGAGTCATTTTCTGTTATCTATGCACTTCAATGAAAAAATAACATCCCTCTCAGCTGGCCAGTAGTGGCACACGCCTTTAATCCCAGCACTTAGGAGGCAGCGGCAGACAGATTTCTGAGTTTGAGGACAGTCTGGTCTACAGCATGAGTTCCAAGACAGCCAGAACTATACAGGGAAACCCATCTCAAAAAACAAAAGTGAAAAAAAGAATAACACCCTCTCGATGATGCTAATTAAATGACGCCTCCAAGATACTAACATGGAAAGTAAAGTTTGATTTAGAACCCTAGCAAATGCACCTTGTAGAATTTGTAATATTGAGTATGTCTTCCTGAGTTACTAGTTATATGTTGCTAGTTCTGGCTAGCTGTGTGTTCATTTGTGTGTTTGCTCATGCAATGATGATTTTAATGGGTTCTTGGTACTAAGCAGTGGTTTAAAAAAAAAAAAAGATCCTATCCCATCTTGTTATTTTGGCAGTAAATAGAATCAAAAGCAACTTTTAGCAGAGAAATATTTCTTAAGAACAGTTTACTCTTGGATCCAAGAGATGGATTATCTGAATTTTGTTGCATGCATTCACAGGCAAAAAGCTGTCTGACCTGGAACGAGTTACTTCTCTGAAAGTATATAATTGGTTTGCTAATCGACGAAAGGAGATCAAGAGGAGAGCCAATATCGGTAATGTATGAGGGAGACTGCTTTGTCTCATGAGGTTGGAGATGTGATGAGAGTGGCCCGTTATGAGCTGCAGGTCTAAATGAGCCCAACACTTAGGTGGCTTCTCTTCATTGCAATTTTAATAGCAAGGTCTGTGTTGCCTGCGCTTTGTATGTTTTAATAATGACTTTGTTATTTATAAAGCCAGTTGTTCTTAATGTTCTAGAATGTAGAAAACCTGAGCCACTTATGTGGTTCATATTAAGGATTTCTGTGGGTCTCAAGAACTGTGAAGCTCCCTGTCTGCTGGCTACTGCTGCAGCTATGCCCTAGACACTAAGAAACATCTGATCAGTAGCTGGAGTGGAAGAGGTTTAGCAGGTGAGAAGCATGGCAAAAGCATGGCTAAAGGGCATTGCAGAAACCTGTGGATTTAGTCAGTTCACCACGTGTACTTATTGTCTATCATAAACAAACAGTTTCCATTGGCCAACAATAAAGCTGGAGGATGGAAGATTGTGTAAAAGTGCCCCAGGGGAAAAGGTGCATTCAACTAAAAAAAAAAAAAAGAAGAAGAAGAAAATCCAAGATTTTGTCCTATTCAAAACTATGGTAAAAGTAAGAGGTTTGAGTGAATGACATCGGAGTAAAGGATTCATTGAAGCTTCTAAAGTTGTATTTCGGGGTCTTGGGTAGCAGTGACAGAAAGGAGCTGATTTTGATGGCCAGCACAAGAAGTCTGACTGCATTTCATTTGTGGATATGCTTCTTACTTGTTAGTCCAATTCTCAGGTGCTTTGCACAGCCCCCCCCCCCCCCCCTACAGCTATTGACACAGTAAGTTTCATGAAGTACCCAACAGTCCAGGTCGGTAGTTTACTGTGCCTAGAAGTCTGGCCTCTACTTGAGCTACACAGAGTTGAATTTCTCCCGCTTACAGATCATTAGAAACTGACTAATTATGTTCTGATTTCCTTACCATAAAAATCATGGTTCGGCCACTGTGCTGAGGCAGCAGATAATTTAGGGATCTATTTGCTTTTTTCGAAGAAGCAGCAATCCTGGAGAGTCATGGGATAGACGTACAGAGTCCAGGAGGCCACTCCAACAGTGATGATGTGGACGGGAACGACTACTCAGAGCAGGTGGGCAGCCGCGCCGACTGAGGCTTCTGGTTACCCAGTGGTGGGGCAGTGGCAACTCAGGCTGTGGGTGTGGTTGTACGGGGAGGTTGGGGAGCAGCCGGTGTCCCTCCACTCTGCTCGTGTGTCTAGTTAGATTTTCATGTGGTAGCAAAGGACTGTGGTAAAACTCTGTTGTCCTGTTAAATCTGTGAGTAATCTCTATCCACCCCTGTGGGTTTATTGTCACACAACAGGACACTTGGCAAGCACGCAATGGGGAGGAGGAGGAGGGAAGAAGTTCAGAGGGAGGCAGAGAAGCAGAGAAGGTAGAAGAAGAGAGGAGGATCTGACCCAAACAAGCAAGTTACACCACTTACCACACACACAGTGTTGGGGAGGCACTTAGGGGCCCACGGGCAGCTGTGGCCATGCCTGCACATGGACCGTGAAGGCACAGCAGAAGGCGCTGCCCACTGTAGCCCCATCACAGTGGGAGCCCTCATGCTCAGAGGAGTGGTTAACCGGAGTCTCTCTGGTCATTAGCACACTCCTCTTGTCATAAATACAATTCCTGCATGTTTTCTCACCTCATCCCGGTGTGCTCTGCATTGCTTGGGGAAAGTGTATTTAATTGTAGCCACTGCATGGAGTAAGGCAGTAACTTCTATTGGGGAGCCCCACAGGCACAAACATACTGACAGATGTCATTCAAATTTTCTACAGGATGTAAATTAAATTTTCATTTGGGAAATTTAAAAAAACACATGGTCCCTTCCCTAGTCCCTGGCAAGAAAGCACTTTTTTTTCTGGTTTCCTTGGCCTTCAGCCTGCCATGTTCTTCATTCTCTTGGTTTTTCATTGCCTTCATGTACCCATTACTCCAGAAGGGCAAGCGATTCTTTGCAGATTCCTTCTTAAATCCTAAAAGCTAGTATCTGGTTGCCAGAACAAAACAATAGCACCTATGTGTCCCTGGAGATTATCCCCTCCCCCCAAGAGTCAATTCTCAAAGCGCAGCTCCACCCTTGGCTCAGGACGGTGTGCTGTTTCTTTCTTGTTGGAAATGTTCCTGTTCTTTTTCAACTGACCCACATACATAGATCATTTCCATCTTTTTTGCAGATGCCCTGAGGGTAGCACTTCCATATGCTTTTTTTCCCCAAGGGACTTACTCTTTCCAAAGCTCTTTGGTACAGAGTCCCCTGAAAATGTGACAGGTGAGAAACACCTTTTATCTGTGATGGCACCTTCAGTGCCTGGCACACACCCTGCAAGGACAGCTTCCTTCACAGCTTCTTTTCTCCATTGTCTGGGTTTGCTTTGGTTTGTTTTTGGAACTTACCGCCAAGTCTCCCACCTCGGCTTGGGAGGCTGGAGTTAGAGGCATGTGGCACTAGGCGTGTCAGCCTAGTGTTGAACAGTTTACTGTTGAATGTGTAGAGAGCTTCACCTAGCTCTAAGTGGGACACCGCCCTTGCGACGTATGCAGCTGAGGACCCCTCCCTGTTCTGTAATGTGTAGGTGCCCGTACTAAACTCCCTCTACTTTTCTCAGCAGTGACACACTCTGCATTCCAGTGGCCCCTCAGTAGCTTTGTGGAGTTCAGAAAGCAATACGTTGAGGTCAGCGATCCCTATTGTATCCGAGGCAAACAGAAAAACCCAAATTATTAGCCTATTTTAATTACTTCAGGTGTGATCACCACTAGCAATTTTTTGATAGAATAATAAATTCCCAGTGAAAAAAAGAACAAAACAAATCATTTTAGTCCTTTTTATTTGTTGAGTCACAAAAACATTAGAAGTCTCTGGACCTATGTCCATTCAGTGTCTACTTAAATACAGCTCACCTCCACCATGAGATGCACGCAGCCATTCCCTCCGTAGATGCGCTATCCCCGCACGGCAGCCCTGCATGCCTTTCTGTGAGCTTGAGAATTGGTACCAGCCAACGAATAACGTTCATTTCTTATTTCTGCACATCTAGGATGACAGCACGAGCCATAGTGACCACCAAGATCCCATCTCACTAGCTGTGGAGATGGCAGCCGTCAACCACACTATCTTGGCATTGGCCCGGCAGGGAGCCAATGAAATCAAGACAGAGGCCCTGGATGATGACTGATCAGGGAGGATTAAACAGTTAACTTAGTTTAGACGTAGCACCTTAGCAGACTTTCCTCGGTCCTTAACATGTGTTCTTACAGTATAACTTACAGTTTCTTGTATGTCAGGTAGCCGTTAGGGTCTTGTTCTGTGAAGATGGCATGGTGCCCTCAGCCTTTGCATATACTCTCTCAGTATTAAAATCCCAGTAAGTAAGAACCAAACAAACAAACTTCCCTCTCCCAGCCCCCGAGGCTAAAAAAAAAAAAAATCTCGCTGCTCCGTCTTAGCATTCCAAGAAAGTGCTTCCAGGTATTTAGATAGCCCTCAGTCTCAAATATTAGACTCTGTGTAAAATCTTGGGTACCTTTAGACTCATGTAACACTAGGCTGTACCCCGTTCCTGCCCTAAGACTGATAGGATGCAAGCTGAGGTAGTGACACAGGACCAACAGACACCTTCCGGGAAGTTTCCACTGAGCGCGAGGAACACTCAAGCCGCCTCGGCATGATTCAGCTGCAATAAGCCGTGCCTCCTAGTCACAGTGTGGCGAGGCTCCACTTCTTTGGGTGCTGTGCTATGAATGTCATTGGAGTCCCAAGCTCAGCTCTTGGTTAATGCTAACACACCCAACACAGACATCCTTCCCTCTCACAAGCTGTGTGACCTAGTAGATAAAATACTGCCTTCTGCGTTTGGGACCACAACTCTAAAACAAAAAGGACAAAAACAAACAAACAAACAAAAACCACCAAGTTCTGAAAAGCAAACCCAGCTTGAGAGCAGTAGGGAGAGCATGAACTGAATGTCGGGTGGACGCTAAGCCCCATTCTCAGAGCCGCTATACATTCCACAGCCCGGTGCCAGGCCTGCCTGGGAGAGTGATGGAGATGTCATGGAAGTTGCTTTGCCTCCTGTTGGTGCCCCTCCCTGCTACCAAAAAGTCTTTAAGGATAGAGCTGAGGTCAGAAGCGAGTGAAAGAGCAGGCCTTGTACCCATCACCTGAAGCCCACCCAGAGTTGCTAGGACTCTGTTGGAGACTGTGCCAACCTGACTGTCACAGATGCAGATCCTTGCCTAGCTAGGGGCAGAAAAGGCAGGGGACATTTGCCACTTACATCGTGAGTATGCGGGACACAGCAGGATGTGTCTGCTGTGTTCCCATTACTCTGTCCTTGTGGAGGTGTGAAAGCTATATTGCTACAGGCAATTTATTTAATAATTGGAAGCCATATTGATAATGGATGTGGTAATATTTGTAGTTTAATCTACTTTAAGCGGCAGTAACTAATGGAATTTTTTTCCTTGATCACATATGTAGCACTTTTGTTACTTTTTAAAGATATTTATATTTGATAAATCTTTTTTTCATTTTGAGAACTCAAAATACCAAACAGTGAACTTGTGTTATAAAGTCACCCTGTGACCACCTTGTCATCTAGTAGCAAAATGATGAACTATTCAAGCATCAAAGAAAATTACATCTGCTGGCCTTGTATGAAAATGATCTCCTGGAGACCTGATTAAATGACGCTGTCACTGTGGCTAAGAAGAAACAGCCTTCAGTGTATTGGCACCGTGCGTGTCTGAGAGGGGCTAAGTGTTTTCTGCCTCGTCCCATCTCTCCTCTGTGTGTCTGAAGAAGCCTTGTTTGGAGGGCAGTGTGGAGTAGGCCAGTAAGCAGGCTTTCATCTTTCTGTCTGTTCCCTGAACCAATTTCTAAGAGATAAAGTAGGTGCCATGTCCTCACCCCCTCCTTGCTCACCAAGTGTGTTCACCTTCAGAACTGTTGAGAGAGGACAGCACACTGAGCCTCATTTTCCCCTTCTCCCTGGCTGGATACCCAGTACCCACAGATTTAGCTGGTCTTCTTGGGGCACACTCTGCCTAGATTATCCCATTGGTCTTGGTTACAGGAATGTGAGGCGTCGTCTTTGAGGGGCCTGAGGCTACCACCCCACCTACATTTGTGACTTTGAAGAGTGCTAGGTAGGGCTTGGTCCTGCTCCTATCGGTGGATTTCAGGGGGAAATGTATGCATGCATTTTTCCCAGCTCCAGGAACCGAAGGAAAATGGAGCCATCTTTTCTTACTGTATTACTTGAACCCACAAATTTAAAAATAGCATTTCTTATTCTCAGGAACGAGCCCCCACGCCTACTTAGAATATTTCATGGTTTATTTGACTTTTTTATTTCACTTAGGAGATTGCATGATCGTTCTTTCCTTTTGTTTACTTAGAAGAAATAGACCTATTATGTCTATCCATTTTGGTCAAGTTTTGTCTGCTTATTCTCAGTTGAATCAGAAAGAACAGGAAAGGGGAAAAACATTTTTCTGACAAGCCACATCCATGATTTACCATGAAATTATTATAATTGACAACTTCTTTATGGTGCCGTTGCTCTTGTCATTTGTTCTCCTTGGCTTTTTAAAGGAACAGGCTCCAGCTGTTAAGACAGCTCCAGTTCCTAAGGGAACTCTGACTGCAACAGAAGAGCAGAATGTCCTGTGTCCTTGGACCCTTGAGAGAGAAGAGGACAGCAGAGGATGCCAAGCCCTGGCTGGGTGTAGACAGTGCCAGTGGGATGTGGCAGCATGGCGGCAGAGCACAGTTGCCACAGAGGCTGGCCCTGTGCCGAGCTAGGTAGAAGGCCTGTCACTAGTCCTTCAGCTGGAGCAGCTGGAGCACCCACAGTAGGATTTGCTTCTTTGGAACCAAGGTTCAGATCTGTCATCATGTAGTTTTCGGGGGTCAGCAGGCTTGAGTCTGCTCTTGAGTCCTGGTCCCTGAGCTCTTGGATAGCCACAGAGCCATTCTCAGTCCGTAGGGTGGTGAGTCTTTCCTTAAGCTTTTCCAGGTTCTAGGTGTGCTATTAAATCAGAAACTTTAAATTTCCCCATGCTGAGAGAAAAAGAGCTGGGCTCTTACACTCATTCTTTTGCTCCTTGCTTGCCCTGTCTCTGCTCTCACCTTCTGTACTTCTTGTGGCCCCAGAGATCTCTTTCAGGGGTTGTGCCTTCCTGACCAGTGAAGACTTAGAAAGAGGCGAGGGGGGAAAGCAGACATTTGTAGAGTGTGCTGTGATTTTTATTCAAGTACTTTGAATTGCCGTTGCTGGATAGGAAGGTAACTTCCCACCTCCTAGTACTTCACATGGTGACCTGTTAACAAAGGACCATCTTAAGGTGTTCCTATCTGAAGACAGTTGCAGCCAG